TTCCCCTGGCTGATTGATTACCCTTTTGGGTGATTAATTAACCCCTTCCTGGCAGTGAGCACGGAGGAGCTGCGGGGCAGCACGCCCGAGGCCGCGGCGGCCGTGCTGCAGTGGGTGAACTTCGCCGACAGCGACGTCGTCCCCCCGGCCAGCACCTGGGTGTTCCCCACGCTGGGCATCCTGCACTACAACAAACAGGTGGGGGATTTTTTTGGGAATTTTTGGGAATTTTTTGGGAGTTCCTGGGGGTTTGGGGAAATTTTTGGGGATTTTTTGTGATTTTTAAATTAATTTTTTGAATGTTCCCCACGCTGGGCATCCTGCACTACAACAAACAAGTGGGGGATTTTTTTGGGATTTTTTTGGAATTTTTGGGAATTTTTTGGGAATTTTTCGGGAGTTTCTGGGGGTTTGGGGAAATTTTTGGGGTTTTTTTTTTGATTTTTTGTGATTTTTTAATTAATTTTTTGAATGTTCCCCACGCTGGGCATCCTGCACTACAACAAACAGGTGGGGATGTTTTGGGATTTTTTGGGAATTTTTGGGAATTTTTTGGGAATTTTTCGTGAGTTCCTGGGGGTTTGGGGAAATTTTTGGGGTTTTTTTTGGGATTTTTCGTGATTTTTTTAATTAATTTTTTGAGTGTTCCCCACACTGGGCATCCTGCACTACAACAAACAGGTCTGCGGATTTTTTGGGGGATTTGGGGAATTTTTTGGGAATTTTTTGAGGGTTTTGGGGAATTTTTCAGGAATTTTTGGGGGAATTTTTGGGGTTTTTTTGTGATTTTTCGTGATTTTTTGGGTGTTCTTGCATTACAGCAAACAGGTGGGGTTTGGGAATTCCAGGAATTTTGGGTTTCCTTCCCCAATTTTGGGGTTGTCCTCCCCAGTTTTGGGTTTCCCCTCCCCAATTTCGTGTTCCCCTCCCCAATTTCGGGTTTTCTCTCCCCGTTTTTGGGTTTTCTCTCCCCGTTTTTGGGTTTTCTCTCCCCATTTCGTGTTCCCCTCCCCGTTTTTGGGTTTTCTCTCCCCGTTTTTGGGTTTTCTCTCCCCAATTTGGGCTCCCCTCCCCGTTTTTGGGTTTTCTCTCCCCAATTTTGGGTTTTCTCTCCCCCATTTCTGGTTCCCCTCCCCGTTTTTGGGTTTTCTCTCCCCCATTTTTGGTTCCCCTCCCCAATTTTGGGTTTTCTCTCCCCCATTTCGTGTTCCCCTCCCCGTTTTTGGGTTTCCCTCCCTGTTTTTGGGTTTTCCCTCCCCGTTTTTGGGTTTTCTCTCCCCATTTCTGGTTCCCCTCCCCAATTTTGGGTTTTCTCTCCCCCATTTCGTGTTCCCCTCCCCATTTTTGGGTTTTCTCTCCCCGTTTTTGGGTTTTCTCTCCCTGTTTTTGGGTTTTCTCTCCCCGTTTTTGGGTTTTCTCTCCCTGTTTTTGGGTTTTCTCTCCCCGTTTTTGGGTTTTCTCTCCCCGTTTTTGGGTTTTCTCTCCCCCATTTTGGGTTTTCTCTCCCCAATTTCGTGTTCCCCTCCCCAATTTCTGTTCCCCTCCCCAATTTCCCCTGCCCCTGTGCCGTGCCAGGCCACCGAGGTGGCGAAGGAGGAGGTGCGCCGGGTGCTGGGGGTGCTGGACGGGCACCTGCGAACCCGAACGTTCCTGGTGGGCGAGAGGGTGAGCCTGGCAGACATCAGCCTGGTCTGCGCCCTGCTCTGGCTCTACAAACAGGT